TCCATGTTAAGATCTCGTTTGATCGTCTCTGGGATCTCAAATGTCATGAAAAAATTTATTAAATTTTGTTTTTCAAATTTCAAAAGTTTCTTTTCACCCTTAGGATATGTTTGGTATATAATATAGGATAATGCCTGATAATATAAGATCTGATTGAATTTTAATACTATCTAGCATTTAGCATAGTATTGTATAAAATAATATATTGTATATAGGGGTGATAATAAGGCCAGAGGCCTATCAAGGGCCTTAGGCCCGGCCCGTTTCGGCTCGGCTTGGCTCGTCTTTTTTTATTATTAAGTCCAGATTTATACTCATGCAAAAGCCTTTTTATTTAAAAGGCCTCAGGCTTCCATAGCCAGCCCGGCCTTGAAGCCTTGGAGGCTGGCCCGTATACATTAAATTTATTTATTTTTAATATTTTTATATTAATCATTTCAACATCCTTTTCTCAATTTTCTGTCTCTGCTTTATCTCTTCTCCCCGATCTAAGTCATCGTCCCACCAACAGGTAAATGAAGTCATGTTCATCATCTATTTTTATAAGCCATGCGGATTCCACGGCTTATAATGATGCTTATGGCGGCGACCGTGGAAGAAAATTTATTGGTGGGGTTCAAATCTAGTGTAAAAAATCTAGAATATTAAGGAATGTGGAAGAAAAATTAATGTAAAAAATCTAAAATGTGGAAGAAAATTAAGGAAAAGCAACGTCAAATAAAGTAACGGTGATGTTGTTATTTTGATTTTTTAATATTAATGTTTTTTTATTATAAAAGAAACAACTATTATTTTCTTACAAAAAAATACATATCAGTGCATGATTAATGGGCTAAATACGGCTACAAATTGGAAGGTAAGGTTTTTATTTTTAATAAATAAACAGGCCATAGGCTTGAGACAGGCTTTTATTTTTTGTAAACGAACCAGGCCACAGGCTAATATTATATTCGTAACAGGTAACAGGCTAAGGCCAGTCTGACACGTTTAAATACAGGCTTGGCCCGTTAAGATCAAAGCTCGGCTCGGCTCGGCCCGTTAACACCCCTAATTGTATAAGATAATATCATCTAGTATTTGATAATGCACTGTATAATACTATATATGATAAAAATAAATATTTTTAATAAAAATATCCTTTAATAAAGAATTTATATGATTCTTCAAAAAATGTCATATGATATTAATTTTTATAAAAAATTATTGATCAGTGTGTCCAAAATATAAATTAAATTTTATAAAAATAAAAATATTCAATATTTTAAAAATTAATATATTGAAAAATTAATTTTTATTTTAATAGATTAATATTAAAATAATATATTAATTTTTGAGAATTATATGTCAACGATGTTAATACATCAATCTCTTATCAGACCTTATCCCTCACCTTTAGGCCGGATTAAGTTATACAATATTTTGATGTATTAAAGAATGGCTTGCAATTTCTCATGTTGCATGAGAAATTCAAGTTTTCATACATAGAGAGAAAGGGGTGGGATCCATCTTAAAGAAAAAAAATAAAAAATAGAAAAATGGTTGGCACGGACATCTAAGTGAGAGTGGTAGGAGAGGAGGTTTCTCATGTAACATGAGAAGTCTTTTTCCCATTAAAGAATTATGGTGTATAAACTTATACTATACGATGGTCACACCAAACAATTAAAAATATTATAACGTATAATATAAGCTTATACTATCACGTATCTTATACGTCACACCAAACATGCCTTTCAGATCATCAAAACTTTTAAAAAACCAAGATAATTGTATAAAACAAATATAAATAATAATAAGTAAATAAAAATACAACTGCGATGTCAAGTCAAAGCAAGGCTAGAGAGAAAAGTAATCAAAAGTTCTACAAGGCTACGAATAGTAATAAAGGTAGCTAGTTCTATTTACACCACTCATTCTTTTGTGCCAAAACATAATTTTAAAACAAATTAGCCAAAAGATAATAATAATAAAATACATTGTAATATCAGTATCTATCAGAGAGTTTGCTTTGACGAAGGAATGAAGGTACTTGGTCTTTTCTTCATCTGACTGAGACGCATCTTGTATGCCTCCGGTGAAGGCCGAGCAGGATTGTGTGTCATGCTTCATTTGTATAAATTGCAGTGTGTTGTTTACTGTCGTTCGAGTCCCACATCGAGTATATTATAAAACTCAATAGGGTTTATATACGAGAAAGTAATGTCTCTGCTTGTCCCTTCGGGGACATCCGATAAAATTGGAACGATACAGAGAAGATTAGCATGGCCCCTGCGCAAGGATGACACGCACAAATCGAGAAATGGTCCAAATTTTTTTTTTCCGCATTTCCTTCTCGGGTTTCTCTGTTTAATCTGGTTTCCTTGCCTACCTTATTTGATACTGGGTGGTATATTTCAACGAGTATGGCTTCTCTCTTTAGTTTGTTTAAGAAGTTCTCTTCCTTATTCTGAATAAAATGAAAAATGTCTATGGTACGCGAAATGTTAGCATCAAGGTTTTTTACATTTGATGGTCAGTGTTTTGTTTTTTATTTTTTGGTTGGTGAGTGAGATATTGTAGTTAGTTCTTATGTTTATTGTCTTTGTAATTACTCTATTCAATTGTTGAGCAGTTGTTCTTGTTCTTCAGGTTGACGAGATGACTGTCTACTTTTACATGACCTGTTCGGCATAAATTAGATGAGAAGACATTTGTTCCATTGCACTGATTTATTGACCCCGATTCTGTAAGAATATGAAGTTTGGGAAATCTTATTTGATTCAAGAATTCCTGGTCATCGATTTTGTCCTAACTGTCTGAGATATGGCTGGCAATTTCTTATGCAATTTTATCACATCCAACTGCTTCAGAATGCTTTGCTGCTTATGCAAAGTCATATCTCATGCCTCTTGATTATGTATTGGATCTAGGCTATGTATCTTATGTTACTGCATTACAAGATTTCTCACATGCAAATAAAATTTTTATTAGTGATGAAAGAGGGAAACTAGTATAGGATGAGAAAAGTTAGCCTTTTAAAGAGAGAACTGAAATTTCTCTTTATATTTTGCGGGTAGAGATCATTAAGCAAGTGTATTTTCACTCCTTGTGCTGTGTGTTCGTTGTATGTATTGATGTTGAATAGAAATTTTGCTTGGTCAAATGCCCTTTTATAATTTTTTTACTTTTTTAATATTATCTTTCATTCAATAAGGGATAATTTCGTTCACATTAATAGAGATATTCTGAAAGTGTCCAATGTATCAGATCCCCCTTTCTCTCTACGCTGTGTTTACTTGAGTGAAAGATTTTATTCATGGAAATGATTCTTTGATAAATATGCTTCTTAATGATGTTTAGATGAAGTGAGGTTTACAACATGAGGGACTCAACATACTTAAGCCATGCTTTTGTAATTTTTCTATCCAAGCATGCATTTATCGTCGAATATTTTTCTGGGGTTTCTATAATAGAATATTAATCGTAGTACGTATGGCTGATTGAAGCATTTGTTAGTTGAACAAATACCACTTTTTAAGTTAAAGCTTTTGGATCACCTTTCAGTACTCAGTATATATAATATGGGCATATACATTTGGGTGCTGATTTGGTTACTTCTATTTGACTCAGGCAATCAAGATAAGAGAGGGGTACATTCAGGGTGTTAGACTTGCACCTTCCCAGATAGAGGGAATCAAAGAAATCAAAAAGGTTTTGCCTTTGCAGAATATGAAACTAACGAGATTGCAATGGTTGTCTGTTTTTTATTTTCAGTCCTTGTAACACTGTTCAACAGAACACTTTTGCGGTGCATTCTCGACGTCTATGCTTTCCACTTTTTGAGACCTGGATGTTTTTCAATCTTTATTTGCTATTGTTGATTGAAAATTTGGCTTTGTTGATTGGAAGTTCATAAGCTCTATTATGTAAAACATTCTATAGCATTGGCTATATAGCCATATGTACTTTTCTTTCAACGTTTTGGATGCGCAAGTGTCCCAGCTCGGCCAGTCTAGAAGGTAGCAGAGCATGTAATGGCCTATAAAATCCACTGCGAGCCACACTTCAAAGCATACCTTTCTCGGCCTTTTGGCTAAGATCAAGTGTAGTATCTGTTCTTATCAGTTTAATATCTGATACGTGGACCATTGGTCCACATGATATTAAATTTATTTCTTGAGGGGGAGAGTCCATTACAGTAGCTTGCTACTGGGCCTCTCATTCGTCGCCCATGCGTTGCACTTTAGCACGGGCCTGGCGCACCCCACCAATTCCAATTTATAAATATTTGTCAGAAGAAGCTTCGTAAAAAAATTGTTGCCTGGTTCTTTAAATTCGTAGTATTTTTTTTTGTTGAAATTAAATTTAGAGGTGGCTTGTTTTAACTAGCTTGTGGCCACTTGTGAAATGTGAGGTGAATGTATGGGGGACTTCACTGTAATTGTTTGATGTGGGATTTGATTGAATAGTTGATACTTCGTTAGTCTAGCATTATGAATTACTTTATCCTTCATAACTACAACGTATGAAGCTAGACATTATTGATGATATATGAAAACATATGATTCAATTATGGCAAAATTTTATAATAAAAATGTGTCAGTGTTAAATCCAAGTTAAATTTAGATTTAATTCACTAAAGTTAACATTGTGAGCCTTCAAGCTGCAATATTTCTTTAAAAATACACTAGAATCAAAAGTAATTACAATAGTTTCCCTAGAATAAATTTAATATTGAGGGGCTGGAAACTTTATATTCCAAGGAGAATTTTTTATACTTTTATTCAATATAATATATTTTATTTCATCATCAATAATATTCAGGTCAAAAAGCCTGGCACATTTTGGGCGGAAAAAAAAGCAGCAAAAGAAACATGCAGAATTTGACAAGCCACTAGAAATATAGTTTGATATCACCCTTCATTAGTTATTGGTTAATGAGGAACTGGGAGGGCTTTTTAAGTAAAGGCCTATGAGCATCAATTGAAATTGGCCTCAACTTGCCACCAAGAGTAGAACTACTAATGCCCACCAATAGCTTTGTTGATAATATGAAGGAGAACTTCCTCTAGCTCTTCCCCATCTTTCCAGGCATGTACCTCTGCCTTTATCTTATTTGAGTTTTTAGATACTAAATCACACAGTGAAAAGTTCTTTCTAGGCATCAAATAATCACTATTTTTGAGCTTCAAATTAGGACAAAAGTCCCCATTTCCATCACCAAGATAGATGAATTTCTTCTTTCCTGCATCATCCACCGAATTTTGGATCCTTCCTATGACCAATCCCTACATGTCATTATAGAGGGAAAAATGTCAATAGAAGAGAAATTCGAAAAGGTGAACTTTTGCTAGTAATTAATATTGGTAAATTTAACTAGTAATTTTTGGCGATGATTTATTAATTTATCATAGAACTTCTCTATGTACATGGTTCACGAAACATAATTTGCTTTTATATTATCAGGATCTCTTGGATTATGAGTCCAGAAAAGTGGAGCCTGATGTGTGGTCAATATCATCAAAAGAAAAATTGATCAAAGCTTCCTCCAATGACAACAAAATATAAAAATTAAACTAAATATAGATGTATAATGCATAATCTATGAAGTGATTAACTATATAAGTAGAATAAATACGAGTATTAATTATATGGTAGAGGTGGAGAACTGGAGAGTGATTGAGAGAGATAAGTGTTTCTCATTTTGTGTCTGTGAGCAAAAAAGATAAAAAATGATTCCTTTTTCTGTTTACCAGCACAAAGTTAAACATGTTCGTCCTGGGAACAAAAAAATAAACTGATTTTACCAAACAAGTTTTTTATCCATTTCTATTTTCGAGAACATAAATTAAAAAAAAATTGATTCCTGGAAGGTTGTCATGCACACCCTAGAAAACCCGAGAAATTTTTAAGGAAAAAGTGTTTATCCTTTCAAATGACACAACTTATATCCTTTCACTCTCACAAAGAGATGGGATCCACACCTTTATTTTTTTGTCAACTCTCTTCCCTCCTTTATCTATCTCTTTCTCTCACTTAAAATGACACATTTTTTCCAATTTTTAATGAGTTTTGGATGTGATAAAGTGTCAGTTACGCGGGTTGGCTTTGAAGATGGTGTACAAAACACATTCTAGTTTATCACGAGCTGAGATTATGACAAATCCTGTTTGGTAGAAGGATTTTTATGGGATGCTTGAGAAAGTGAGGGTTGGTATCCAAAAATACCATATTTAGTAGCACTTTTAAAAAAAATTTGCCGGGAAAGTTATATTACTGGGAATCCATTTTGTGAGTAATCTTGGACCAAATTCCCAATGAAAAATACCTCCCAGAGAGTGGTATTGTTACTTTCTCGGGTAAATAAAAAAGTAGATGCGAAACCCCCAAGGGTAGCTCAGTTGGCAGCTGAGCTCCCAAGGGATTACTTGGTGCAGGGATCAAACCCTGCCTCAAGCAGTTTCTTGGAAAATCTTTGAGGACCAGAGGATAAGCCAAAAATCTTCGGTTGGGGGATTAGTCTCGTCCTTTCTCCGGTTGCGAAGCTTAGTGCACTCACTGTTACAATGAGGGGCTAGCCCAAACGTGCCGTACCCCGAGGGCATGGTGCCCGAAGAAGGTTGAATGGGGATACCTCCTGGCAATGTACCAAAAAAAAAAAAAAAAAAAGTAGATGCGAAATGTGTCAAAAATAACCCTGATATTGCTTCAGCTATGTCTCCATCTTATTCTGGTTTTCACTTTGGTTATGGATTTCAGCTATCATTACACTTTCATGAGCTTTTTCAACTTTTAATTCTCTTCTTGCTAAAGTTTGCAAAGCCTCCATTAAATCAGCATCTCTGGCTTCAATCCATGCTCTTGCTATGGTCATTGTCATTATCGGATGAAGATGTTCCAAAGTTAGTGGAGTCAGTGAGGCTGAGGCTATCACAATGCTTTTGAGACTGAAACATCTCATGGTAATGTTTGGAAACGAAGGTTGGTAACAATATTATTGGTTTCTGGAATTGAGTTTGATTACTGTTTTCTCTTTATAAGGCTTCAAGTTGACGAAAGAATATGTAATGCTTCCCATCATGTCTTCCTGCTTTATCTTCTTTTGTCTTCTTGTAATATTTTAAAAGGTTTTATTAATCTCATATTAAAGGAGATAAGTCATCTCATGTCATAGAGAAAAATTTGTGGGCCCCACCATCTGAAAAAAAAAAGAAAAGAAAAAGGTTGCACAGTTATCGAAAGATGTGAAGGAGAGAAATTTATCACATGTAGCATGAGAGTAGTATTTCCCTATTTTAAATTGACAACGGCAGGCTAATTATTCTAAATTGAGGTTGTAATTGTAATTTCGGCCCACATTCTCAGTAATTTTTTACAATCAACCAAATATTGACTTATGAAAATTGACTCAACATTTTGTCCTTCCAATCAAATTTTTGATCACATTCCTGGAAAATTTATTTTCCCATCATATTTTTGGTAATTGTGATTCCCGAATAAATATTTTTTTCTTTTCTGCCAAACGCCCTTTTTAAGGTGTGTTTAGGAGCTTTGAGGGAAAGAGAAGGGAAGGAAGGGGATCTAAGGGAGAGGGAGGGGAAATAAGGGGAAAAATGAAAGCTATTCTCTTCCCTTTATTTGAGAGTTAAAAATCTCCCTCAAACCCCCTAAATTGGTAGAACTCAAATTTTAAGAGTGAGAAGATTATTGGAAGGTTTTACAAAAATCCTCTATTCATTTTCCCTATTTTTTTTAAATTCATAAATAAATAAAAGTCATAAGTAAAATCTTCTCATTTTTTTCCTTTCGTTTTTAATTGTGACTTCCAAACACACCTTCAAGCGATTGAGGCAACAATGTGAATAACTAATGGCACCTAACCTGACAAAGAATGAGTTACATGGGATATGTGAAGATCACAAGAATTTTTCATCATTCCCTACTCTTTTTTTTGTGTTAATTTATTGTTGAAACTATGAACCACATACGTTTGTTCCACCTCTACGGTTCTATGTGAAATGTACGCCTTACTTTTGAAATTTTGTCCTGAGGCCAAGAAATCTTGATCAGAATACTGATTTGTGTGGGGGTAAAAGTATGTCTCTGATCCTATCCGGTATTATTTTCGGGAGGAATTTAAAGTTTTAATTTTGAACCGATCCTGAATACAACTAGTCGCGAAGCGTTGAATTGATTAGAATATTTTAAAAAAAAACCTTAATAGGGTGTTTTCTCTCTCTCTCTCTCTCTCTCTCTCTATCTCTTAAAGAAAAATAAATACCACGCAAAAGTATAATTGTGTTCAAAGTTTATAGATAACAATTTTAAATTTGAATAAATTAAGATTATAATATATTCTAGGGGAAATCGTACACACATATCAAATGTGATATCCTCTTTATGTTTTTATTTTCATCTTTCTCCTATAATTTGGATGTGTATGAAATTTTTTTTCTCTTGTATAACATGAGAGTCATTTGAAGTGTGAGTTTTCTTCGGTAAGAGATGTAGACCAAGATCCCGTCCATCTAAGTGGTCAAAAGGTACCCGAGAAAGATGCTTTTAGATACCTGGGATCCATTTTGCAAAAAGGTGGAGAGATTGATGAGGATGTAAATCATAGAATCAGAGCAGGGTGAATGAAATGGTGTAGTGCATCAGGGTTTTTGTGTGATCGCAAAATCTCCCTTAAGTTAAAAGAAAAGTTTTATAGAACAACAGTAAGGCCTGCAATGCTATATGGAGCTGAATATTGGTCAGCACATAGACAACATGAACATAAAATGGGAATAGCAGAGATGAGGATGTTAAGGTTGATGTGTGGTTATACAAGGATGGATAAGATAAGAAATGAAGATATTCGTCGAAAAGTAGGAGTACTACCGGTGGCTGAAAAGATGAGAGAACATAGATTGAGGTGGTTTGGGCACGTAATAAGAAGGCCCCTGGATGCTCCCATAAGAACAAAAGTCTGTTACCAAGAGCTCAACACAAAGAAAGGTAGAGGTAGACCGAAACTTATTTGGAAAAAAGTAGTAAAACAAGACTTAATAGAGTGGTATATAGATTGCGGATGGTATGCCTTAGAACGGAATGGAGAAGAGCTATAAACATGGTGGAGGGTTAGCCCGTTGTTATTCCTATGTTCCAGATGGTTCCTTTTTAGTTTTTTTCCTCTTTATTTCCCCTTCTTCTTCTTTTTTCCTTCTTTTATTACTTTTATATATATATATATATTACTATTTTATTTATTTATTTTAATTTTTTATCTTTTTCAACCTTTTTGTATCTTTTATTTGGATTCATCTAATACCGACCCTAATTAATTTGGAATAAAAGTGTAGTTGATGTTGATAACATGAGAGTCATATGCTTGGTTATATTCACTTAAATTTGTAAGTTTAAAATTTTGAAAGGAGGAATTTCTACATTTTTGGTTTAAATGGCATCGGATAGCTAGAGAAAACATAGACCATCTATCTAAGTGAAGCATCTTGTTTGTATTATCTTTTTGTGCTTATTAATTTATCTTTTAAAATACTTGAGGTACACAAAATTTACTGGCAGCACAGGCATTATATATATTTAATGATAGGGCAGTCGAAAATATAAAAAGTATATAATCTATTAAAAAAGAGAAATATTACTCTCATTTTACATAAGGTAACTTATCTCATTTTTTCTCACTTCGATTTTCGCACCTCACTTTTTTTTTTCTTTTTTCTTGTAATGGTGGGACCCACCTATTTTCTCTCTACAACATAAGATAACTATCTTATGTAAAAGGAGATTAATAAAACCCATTAAAAAAACTTAACTAATTATACGGAAATAGGAAAAAGAATAATTTTTACAATCTGCCAAATTATTTTCAAAGGAGGGTAACAACATTCTTCATCACAAAGAAAACGCATTCAATAATACCTCACAATCAATAATAGTTGTATAGATACTTTTTTTTTGTTCTCTGCAATTACATCTCAAGACATCTGCACTTACAATCAATAGGAAGATTTTGCCGCCTCATTCATTTACTGGGAATAATCTAAGGGATCCTCAAAATTTTGTCATCTCCTCTATATATATATATATATATATATATATATATATATATATATATATATATATATATATATATATATATTCTAAACACAAGATGATCAATATACTTAAACCTTTTGGTTCAAAATTTGAATTGAGTATCAATAGGATGATCATATTCTCCTTACATCTCAAGGCACCTGCACCTACAATCAATAGAAGACTTTGCTACCTCATCCATTTATTTGGAATAATTGAGGGATTCCCAAAACCTTGTCATCTCCTCATATAAATATCAATATCCTAAACACAAGATGATCATATTCTCCTATATACTTAAACCTACTTGTACAAAAATTTGAATTGAGAATCAGAGTGTATTTCAGGTACACCAATAACTGTATGCCTAAAACATCTTAGACCAATCAAATCTAAAATCCAAATTCGAATAAAAAACAGATTTAAGCTAATATTTGAAAAAAATTCATATAATTGTACTTGGTATAAACTCTTAACCTATAATCTACCTCTCTTTGACACGCATCAAACATAACAAAAATGGTAACACATCACATATATAACAAAAATGGTAAAAAACGTATGTTCGAATTATAATATACCATGTTCAGTTAAAAAATCTAAACAAGTAGCTGCTAAGGGATGGTATCGGCAAGTTTTGGAGCAAACTGATGTTTTTATTTAATAACGATTATGGCCCTTTATTTTGGAACGATTCTAAAACTGGAAACTATAGGAAAAGGTTCATTTGGAAGTAAAGTAGGTAAGAAAATTCAAGGTAGGTTACTATTGCCGTACTGGAAGAACATGAGCCAAAGTCTCATGGGTAGAGACCGATAGAGCCTGCAACTTGTAATCAGCTGAAATGAACCAAGTATTTTCCTCCATTGAAATTTTTTTAATTAGCTGCAGCAAAACTTGTTCCAATTCTTCTCCTTCACTCCACTCATGGATTTCAGCTTTAATAAGCAATGGTTCTTTGCATATCAACTCCCATACGGGGAAGTTCTTCCTTGGCATCACAAAATCTTTGTCTTTAAGCCTCAAGCTTGGACAGTAGTCCCCAACACCGTCCCCAAGATAGATGAACCTCTTGTTTGCAAAACGGGATATTGAGTTTTGAATCCTTTCTATGATTAGACCCTGTTCATAGAAAAATTAGAATTAGTCACAAAATGTCAAAATCAAGAAGTTTCTCAATCACGTCAGAAAACTTCAATCTATTTTTAATTAGATCAATTAACCATCACTGGTAACAATGATATCAAATGGATTAATATCTAGAGTCTTTGGTCCTAAACATTTTTCAAAATCTTGTAAATTTTTAATTTCCAAGATAATATCAAATCCAGGGGCTCAAATCAGAGAACCAAAGATAAGTAATAGTTAACAACTTATCGAAAGCAATAGTTCTAGAAACTTCTGTTGTTATATATCATATAGTTATTAGATTTGAGTCTATCTAAAATATCATCATTCAGAGGTAAAATTTTCTTACTGGTTTTTAGGAATGAAGGATAATTTTTGTTATCGAAAAAACCTTTTTAATAGTAAGGGATGTATGAAAGGTATGGATAGAAGATACACACACCTTGCACATGTTTGGAGGGCACAGACTGCAACTGTGAGGAGAGTTGTTGAAGTCATGGTAAGGCAACACTCTTAATATTCCCTCTTCATTAACATAACCTGGGTTAGTGTTAATCTCTGAGAAGCACTCCCTTATTCCCAAGTGCTTCAAAATTGTCTCGATAAAGAAAGTATTTGCATCGCTTACAATCCTCAAATCACACCTAAAAATTATAAATGCTACCATAAGTTTCTTCCTCCTCGAATCTTTGTCTATACATGAGGGAAAAAAAAAAAAAAAAAAGAAAAAAAAAAAAAGGGAAAGAGATACATACCCTAAAGCATTGGCTGCTTTAATGGCAGAGATTATTCTGGGGTGTATTGGAATCCTCTGCAGAACTTGTACAATGTCCTCAATTGTTTTTCCATGTGAATGAAGCTCCATCATCATCCTATCCTATAAAGCCAAAACCAAAAACAAAAGCCTAAGTTATTTATATCATAAACAACGTAGATTGTAGAGAAAGAAACATATACTCTTGAAAAAGAACAGAGCATAGGACTACCACATAATTAGAAACGCAAAATGGGAGCAAATCAAAAACTTACCATGAGAGTGTTCCAAGGCATGGTGGGAAGGAGCTCATTGAACAAATCATTGAAACCCAACTCGTCAACAACCCAATTGTCACTGTCACAGTCGATGATGGTCTTGTCGAAGTCGAAAACTACCACAATTCCAGCCATTATGGTAACAAAGCGAATGCACAAAATCACAACAACTCAGAAGAAAGAATCTGTTTCCCAAGAATTAGATTCCTATTGGGTGTCTCGAACGTACTGCTCTCAAAATCGTGTGTTGCCTTGGGTTTCTCCGAAGGGTATTTATAGTGAACGTGGAGCTAAAGTGAAGGAATATTATATTAGATTCTTATTGTGATTTCTGTATCTAACAAATTCCATCAGAGCCGTTGGATGTGATGAACTTCATTTTGGTCAAAAAATCGGAGGGCAAAGAGGGTGTGGTATAGATTTAGGTGTTAATAAAAAAAGGAATATTCGAGGGAATTTAAATGCAATTATGCATGTGCTGTTTTATCCCACATTTAAATTTGGATTGGATCTCTATTATCTTGTCTCACATGGTGAAAATTCCACCTAAAATTGGAGTTGTATATGGGATGAGATATTCAATCTATTTTTTTTTTTTTTGTTATTTGTAATTTTGCAAATAAAGATATCTAATCATAGTTCACACGGTGAGTCTCTTGAAGATAATTGCTGGGTAATATTTCAGTTTGAATTACGTTACACTTTAATCTTACCATTTTTTACAATCTTCAAGAAAATGGATCTCACTTCAACAAATTAGAAATTAGTTGTCAAATTATAAGTTAATTATTATAATTTAGTGATAAAGCTTTAACAGAAATTCAATTTCATTAATGGCCCGCAAAAGTAATTAATAAAAATAGCGATACTGTTATAGAAAACATACATCTCAATTTTAATATGATTTCAATAACATAGTTGCATATTGCTATCATAAAATTATAAAAATTCTTGCGGGGTTTACTTAAAATTAAGTTCCACCACAGGACTAAAGAATTAGCTATTGCCCAAAACGTCATAATCATCAGATTTGGGCGTAAATCCTCTTCATAATTCTTACTTAATGCGCTTGAACAAAACTCGATTCACCCTCAATAAGTGTATTCAAGAATTTAATGTTCTCACAAAAAACAAAACAAAAAGAATTAATTTAAAGAATAAGATATTCTACTTTTTTTTTTGTCTACCTTATCTACTCATTTTTTCAATATTATTATATCAGAATCTCACTATTTGTCTCTCATCTTGAGATCTCCATCCAATAATATTAAAGATGAGTAAGTAGATAAGATAGGTAATAAAAAAGTAGATAAAATAACCAATCTCTTAATTTAGATGAGTTATTAATAAAAAATATAATTTATTATTAATTAGTAATAAGCCCGTTTGTTTCAACTAAAAGATATATACTTATGATATAATTTTTTAAATATTTTTAGAAGCTAACATTTTTAAAATTTAAGAATATTAATTTTTTTTTGAAGTTTCAGTTTATTGTTTGGAAAACTTATCTAACTAGTAGGAAAAAAAAAGTTAATCGTCTTTTTTTTTATCAATTTCTAACCAACTGAAATTCATCTTTATTTGTTACCTTCCGGCCCAAAAAAATAATCTTATTCCTGCTACAAGATTCGCCGACGAGGAAAATTGTAAAATATAATTATGAAAATAAAAATTAATTGACGATCATTGGACGCAAGAATTGCGCTGCGTGCAGTTAGAAATGTTTTTCCGATCGATGACTATAATGCATTTTTTGTTTCTTTACTCACATGCCATATGATTAAGATAATGATTGTATATTTTATTTTTACTATATATTGATGTGAAAAATATTTGTCATTTTAAATGACATCAAGTTATGTCATTTTAAGAGAGAGAAAGACACAAAAAATATTTTTTATTTAAAATTTAAATTAAAAAAAACCACTCACTTTCTCTCCCATGATTTTCATTTCTTGTGTCTATATCTTTCTTAAAATGACATAATTTATGTCATTTAAAATAACAAACATCAAATCGTATATTTATTGGTTTTGACTTACCAACAGATTTTATCCTACATATTTGATAATTGGGCCTTTTGACCCTAGTAGGGCAATTTTAATAACCTTTCACCGGCATAGTTTCACGGTGAAATGAATTACCTATGTAATGCAGAACAACGCGTTATATAGAGTATCACGTTGAGAAGTGATTGTGAATAAACCACATCCTTTACAAGTTTTATGCCAAACCGGGTGATTGATGCATGGAACACGGTATGGACAGGAACATGTTTGTTGATTGATGGACTGGAACGCGGCATGTACAGGATCATGTTTGTTGGTGATGGAAAACCAACCGTGTCCTTTACACATTTCACGACCGGATTGATGCATGGAACGCGACACGTGCAGGATCATGTTTTCTGATTGATGGACTGGAACGCGGCACATACAGGATCATGTTTGTTGGTGATAGAAAACAAACTGCGTCCTTTACACATTTCACGACCAAACACGGTGATTGATGGGAATATTGCAGAAGGAACATGTAACCCGTCCAGCCGCGTCTAGAAACGGTAGTCATGCAGACGCGTCTCGATGTAGTCAGCCAATGACATCCCTGCATTTGATGCGGTTCTGATGCAGCCACGGATATAACATGTTCTCTAGTACACCGCGACCAAAACCTACATATACATACACCTTTCCAGAACTGCATTTTCATTTTCACTCCCCGAAGTTGTCTAAACGTTTCCTTCTTTCTGCATTTTACCTAAGTGTTTCCCCGTTTTGTTAACTGAAAGCTGTGTTGTTGATCTATTACATATTTTCATTGTTCAATGAAGGTTTGTACAATGTTATATTTGCTCGTTTAATTATTATTTTATTATGACATTACTAATTTTATTGCATTTATATTTTGTTTAACTATTTACAGGAAAAATGAGTTCAAATTTACAAACAATTCATGCACTTATATACTATAATGGTAGAAAGGTGATGGGTCGTCGTGGTGTAACATTTGAAGGTGAAAAGAGACCGATGCGTATTACACGGGGTACTACTTTTGAGGGCTTGAAAGCAAACATTCACCATAAATTGGGGTTACTAGGGAATCAACATATTTCTGAAATCACTGTAAGAGCTCTTGCTGGCAGTTCTGAATACACAGCAATATCAATTACAGATGATGATGATGTTGATATTATATTAGATATTTTTGTGGAACAAGCTGAAACGAGTACTGATCAAACCCATGCTAGAAAGTTTGTGGAGATATACGTAGATTTTCAAAATACCGATGATTTGTCATTACCGATTCAGTCAGTTGATCTGAATACAGCACCAGACATTGATATGTTGAACAGGAATGCATCATCATCTGTGCTTCCAGTAGTGCCCAACGCTGCTATATTTGATGATGAAGACATTCCAACATATGATCAGAACGATGATGAACCAGAAGAAGAAGAGGATGCGTGCCTGGCAGCTGAAAATAATGACGATGAGTCGAATAGTGAAGATGACGACGATGTGCCGATGGGATGCCACAACAACGTCAATGAAACCACATCGAGTATTGTTGGGTATGAAAATGTCGTTGAAGGTTAGTTGACAAGTGATTTAAATTAAAAAATTAAAAATATTTGCAACGTATTCAACTAACGATTTAGTTGTTTGTATGTTACATAGGTACCAATGTGACCGCTAATGTAGGTCCTAATGTATCTCCATTTTGGAATGGAATATCACATTACTCATACATTAATTATGAGTATCCCAAAGAAGATCGAGAATACAACGAGAGAGAGTATCGTGGTGCATGGACCATTGGGGATGAGTTGTCTGTGAAACAAGAATTTGATTCTAAGGAATCAGTGCAAATGACTGTGAAGTCATATTGTATGAAAATTAATAAAGAAGCTGTTGTTGTTGAGAGCACGACTATGAAGCTAGTTTTGAGGTGCAAGGACTATGGTCGGGTTGTCCATGGGAATGAGGGCAATGAAACCAAAAAATGGATTAATGTGGGTTGTGAGTAGATGGGAGGGACCTCACAATTGTGTCACTTGTAACTTGTCTCAAGATCACAGACATCTTGATTCCGCCTTCATTGCTTCAACTATATTAGGTGAGTGTATTTTGTCGAAATAAATTTGTGGTGTCTCTTGTGTTAATATTCACTTTCAATATACAATGATGTGCCAATGTGTATTGTGTTGACAGATATGGTCAAGGAAGAACCACATGTATCGATCGGCTTGATATAAGAAAGAATTCGAAACAATTATGGGTTTACTATTTCATACAGGAAAGCTTGGAAGGCTAAACAAAAAGCCATGGCAAAAATCTATGGCGATTGGGACCAGTCTTATGCTTATTTGCCCAAATGGTTTAATTACATGCTGACATTTTCGGAGGGTTCTGTTTACCACATTCAAACAAATGACTACATGGAAAACCATCGTGTTGTGAATGGCTACCGGGTTTTCCATAGAGTTTTCTGGACTTTCAAGCAATGTTGTGACGCGTTCAACTTCTGCAAACCTGTTATACAAGTTGATGGCACTCATTTATATGGGAAGTATAAAGGTACATTATTGATTGCCACAACGCAAGATGGAAACGATGAAGTATTACCTTTGGCATTTGCAGTCGTAGAAGGTGAGACGAAGGAGTCATGGGAATATTTTTTGTCATGTATACGTTTGTATGTCACTCAAAAAATAGGCATATGCCTAATCTCAGATCGGCACCGTGGAATATTATCGGCTGTTGCAAACCCACATCTTGATTGGCAGCCTCCTAAGGCGTACCATGTTTTTTGCCTTAGACATGTTGGAAGTAACTTCAACCAAAGATTCAAGAATGAGGAATGGAAATGTCAATTAAAGAATCTAGGTGCAAGAATAAGTTTTATAACATTTTAAGTAATATTGTAACCAAATACAAAAAATGACGCTTCCATTGGTTGTTATATGCAGGTTATACTCCATCAAAGGTCAATTTTGATGTTAAGTTGGAGGAATTCCGGAGCAATAGCCCAGAGGTAGCAACGTGGATTGATAGCATTCCGAAGAAAAAATGGAGTCGTGCATATGACGTGGATGGACGTCGTTATGGTCATATGACGACAAATTTATCTGAATGCGTG